GCCCCCAGGAGAGGACACCCTCTGCTTTTGAGTAGGTACAGCGTCCAAGGCAGTGGTGACTCAGCTTCTACACACTGAAGAGCCTTATTGAATAATATCATTATGAGGTGCATTTCCGTAGCGCCACACTCTGGCTGTGAGCTTAGTGCAATGGGCACACTTTTGAGGCACGTGACCCTCACCGAGACACCTAATGCTGGAAGAATGGCCATCAGAGGCCGGCATCACATCGCAACAGAGATTGCATTTCTTGAATCTGGGGGAACCTGGCATATTGAAAGCTTCTCTGCTTTTTGGCTTTTTTTTTCGGTTTAACTATAAACAGTGAGAGAAAAAAACTACTACTTTTTTTTTTTTAACTAGAACAACGACTATGACTACAACTAACAGTTAAATTAACTAACAACTAATACTACTATCTAATAACTATTTAATAACTATTTTAGGTTCTGATGAGAAGAACGCAGAGATGAGGGAAACTCCGTTTGTGACTTGAGGCAGTTGAGAGGAACTGGCAGGAGCCGGATCACGCACAAAACAAGAGGCATGAATGGTGCGAGACTGCCCTGCGCATGCACAATCCAGCTGACTTCAGCTACTCAAAATCTCCAGACTACAGTGCTGGGACGGGCCTGACACCTACAGTGGAGCACCCCCCGGGGACACTACTCGAAGAAGAATATATGTTTCAATCATGGTGGACTTAACCATGTTCCCACTGAAGTCAACAGGAGTTTTTGAATTAACTTAATTAGAATAGACTCAGGCTTTCCACATCTGGGAGCAGATTCACCTACTGCTTATCTTGGTATAAACCAAGGAGGACTAAGACAGCAAACAATTCTGCAAGAGACAAGGCTATAGTGGTGCAAAGCAGTCAAAATCTTAGCTATGCCCAGGAGATCATTAAAATACAGTGCAGCCCACAAAGCAGAGTGGAACTAGCTGAGAAGGGAAAATGGCCAGGGAATGGTCTGATTCAGAACCTTCTCTCTGCAGCTTCTACAAAGTTCCAGAAGGAGTTAAAGCTTATCCTAAGCAGCAACCCCAAGGAAAGGTAGCTGCAAAAACAGTCCGCCCTCCATCAGAATGAATCTCTCTCCAGTGCATGGAGCTTAGCTGGCACAAGAAGTGTAATTTAGGTCCATGGGTAAACATTTTGTAGTGAATGGATATACAAACAAACAACAACACTGGAAATCAGGGTAAATACCCAAATACAATTTGTTTATTATTGCCTGTTAAGAATCAATAGTGTGTTGCTCTGTGATGTACAAGAGACAAATGAAAACAGTTTCTGCTGCAAGGAACTTCTAATTTAGCAACCACAATCATAGAAAACTTCAATATTTTCATCTTACCTAAAAGATGGCAACAACAACAACAAATTGCTAGTGAAAAGCTGGGACTTTGGTTCAGTACTGATTGACGCAGGAGGTACCACTTACTAGGTCACAAACATTTCCTACAGCACTTGGGTTCTCTTTCTGTCTAAATCAGGAGTGGGCAACCAGTAGCTCCAAACCAAATATGGCTCAGCACAGAACCAAATATGGTTCTTTTGTCATTCTCAAAATACATGCAACTTTTTAAATTAAAATGAAAAATTCAAAATTTAAAAAAAGACGTAATTACTCATGTCTTGTGTGTGTGTGCCTGTCTGTTTCATCTTTAACCTGAGGTGAAAGAAGGCAGTGCACCCACAAGCGCTGGCTAGGCCATTCTGTTCATTTAAAGGGCTGGCTGAGGGCGTGCTATAGGGGACGCATGCACACTCCCAGCCAGGATAGCAAGAGGGGATGGCAGCAGCAGATGCCTCCAACTGGCCACGGCAGCCCTGCTCCAGACCTCATTTGACTGCCACTGTCTGTCCCCAGGCACCATGCTCCTGGGCCCAGCAGCAGTGGCACAGCCAACAAGGCCACAATTGGGGCCTGGCCCCTATCTGGCAGCAGTGTCCTGTTCCTGGCCCCAATCCTGGGACAGGTGCCACGGTCTGGCCCGTCTGGCCACAGGAAGGACTGTCAGCTGCCTCACTCCTACTTCAGCACAGGTAGGAGGGTAGGCTACGATCCAACTGCAGCGATGCTGGCCCAGCCCTTCGTCTAGCCACTGCTGCAGAGGTGCAACAACCCAGCCCCAGCTGAGGGAATCCAGCCACAGCGCCCTCCACATACTCTACTTCCCACCCCCAGTGCCCTGCCCTGCCTCCTGCACCTCCCACACACCCCAACCCCTGTCCCAAGCCACTCACACTCCAACCCTGACTCCTACACCACCACATCCACAAACTGCTCCCCCCAGCAGCAGAAGTTCCATTAAATAAAGTCTGTGAGTATGTTTCATTTATGTTATTCTTAATCATCATGTCAATTATCAATAATATTAAGTTGTATTTTTTCAGTCATGCAAATGGGGATACTTATACTGTTTCTTTGTTGACTTGTTCTGAATTTTGATGTAGTTTGGCTCTTTGGTTTGAAAAGGTTGCAAACCCCTGGTCTAGATAGAAAGGTATTTTCCTGATAGGCCTCCCATCAAAGTACTAAGCAGACCTGACCACGCATAAGAGTGACTTAAAAAATATAATTGGGCCAATACCCTTCATTTCTTTATGATATATAAAGAAATTCTGAAAGGCTTTCTGCTTTTTTGTGTAATGGTAGAAATTCAGATCTATGCTAGAAACCTCGAGGGTGACATGAGAATAGGTAATATAACACCTCAACAGCCAAGAGATTAAAAGTGCAGCAAATGAGAGAAAATGAATTATAGCCATTGTACAAAACTACATTTTTGCTTGCTTTTGTTAATACCTATTTATCAAAGCTGTCTAGTGAACATTTGGGAGAAAGTCTTAAATAAACATGCGATACCCTAAAATTTCTATTTTACTAAGAGATCTCTTATGTCCTGAGAATAAAAATCCTGGCCTCCCTCAGTTCCTTTTAACCTTAACTCCAATGCAGAGACATAAAAGGACAGATCTCAAAGAATAATTAATATGGAAAAGGTAAGTAACCATTTTTTTTTCTTCAATGGATTTCAGCAATGCTGAGGTGCTTGAAGCCTGCATTCAGTAACTTTATTGTGAGCAAGTCAATGCCAGTGCTTTCATTAAGAAGGCTGAAAGGAATGTCACAATTTTGACAAGAGGCTGAGCCTAGACTCCTAAAAACTCCCATACAATCGGTTATGAAGCATATGAATAAAAAAAAACAAAACAAAAAACTGCTTCAACTTATGAGAAGAGGGTAAACCCGATGACTCTCAAAATCCTTTAAATGCGGAGCTGCAGCGGGGGTAGCGTGAGCTGGGAGTGAGCCAGTGTGCCTGCCCTCTAGCTCTCAAAATCCTTTAAATGCAGAGCTGTAGCAGGGTAGCTGCTGGACCTGGCGTGAGATGGGATTCAGACAGCATGCCTGCCTGCCTGCCAGCTCCCAAGCTCCTTTAAATGCAAAGCCAGGGGGCAGGGAAGGCATGTAGCCGGTAATGTTAACCAATAACTAAGCCCTAGTCTACACTAGGGAGTTATTTCAAAATAACTCCCCTTATTTCAAAACAGCAAGCAGAGCATCCACAATAATTACTTTGAATGAGTCTGGGCAGTAGTTATTTCAAAATAGCAGCAGTAGAGCATCCACACTACCGCTATTTCAAAATAATTATTTTGAAATAGCGGTAGTGTGGATGCTCTACTGCTGCTATTTTGAAATAACTACTGCCCAGACTCATTCAAAGTAATTACTTCCCAGTGCTTTCTGGGGCTCTCAGTCGAGGAAGCCTACCTCGGACTAATTTCAAGACTTCCCTTCAGTGTGAACATGCTATTCTGAAATAGCTATTTTGTGAGTTATTATTTTGAAATAAATTATTTCAAAATAATTTCCTAATGTAGACATGCCCTTAGACTGTAAGCACCTTTCAATAAAAACTATGGACCAGATACTGGGGTCCTACAGACTTGCACAGAGAGCAGGTCAAGATGCAGAGACAAAAGTGTCTTTAAAGATCACTTCTGCACTCCGAAAATCATGATGCTTCAATTGTGCAGGACAGCGAGTTTTGCACAAGGTTAGATCAATATTTGTGTCAATACGGTTTATTTCCAAAAATTTCTGACCAAACATTAGTAAAGCACAGAAGAGTCCAGACACAGACCCTTTCCTTTGGTCATATCCCTTTTCATTGCTATCAGGCAACAGGAAAGGGGAGTAATATAACAGCTCCCATGTTGACTGTGTCACCAGAGGATCATTCTTGCACTGGAATGATCCTTCTTTAGTTGGTTATACAAAACAGCAATGTGTTACTCTCTGCTTCATTTTATCTGCAAAGATATTTTCACTGCTGGTGGTGCGCCAGAGTGCGCAACTCCAGTAAGAGCCAGTTGGGGCACTCCGCTGCAGGAAGAGGTGCAGCATACTCCCAGGGCTCTCCTGCAACAGGCTGCCACACTGAGCATCAGGCAGGTAAAAAAGGCTGGCTGGGGGCTCACCCCACATCGGTCTGGGACTTCATCAGCCCTTTCCCCCTCACCCAGCACCCTTTAGAGAGGGCAGCAGGAAGGCCTCCCCTCTGCCCCATTCCTACCAAGACTGCTTGTGTCTTGCTACTTCTTTTCCATCACTATCAGGGAGCAAGGGGAAAACACTCAGCATCCCTGCATTCCTCTCCCTCCTGGCTGGTCCCGCTCCCTCCGGGGAAGGCAGGGGGCAGAAGAGTGAGTGACCCATGCTGTATGCCTTCCTCCCACTCCCTGAGCATGACAAAGGGAAACAGCAAATAGCATCAGTAGGAAATGGGGGGCTTCAGCCCCCCCAACCCTCCTTAAAGAGTGCCCTTGCCTCCATGCACTCTGTAAGAAATTTAAATTACTTTCACTCCTGCACACAGCCCTATGGGACTATATAAAAACGTTAAATAAAATAATATTATCTTAAGAGGTTTTCTTTTACAGTATAAAATAATTTAATGTATGACACAAAACACATACATACATTTAGCTCTTTGCTCATCATTGATCACTGAACCTACTCGGTTAGTCACTGCCCAATTCCATAGATTTACTGCACTTTCTTCAATCTAGGAAGGCAGAAAAAAATCCATTAGACTTCACCATTTTGTCTTGATCTGCATCATACTGAACTTCTTGATGTAACAGAACCATACAGAGATAAATACGTATATGCCTGTGTAAATCAAAAAATGACAGGACCTAAAGTTGAAAACATTTAACAGAATTGATGGCACCTGTGTTGGCCAACGTTGTCTTCAGACATAATTTGAAATTATACACAGTAGGGAACTCTGTGAAAAGCAAGATTTCAGAAACTTTTTGTGTCATTAAAGCATCTTCCTGAACAGATTCACTTCACTCGATTGTCCTTACACTCATTTACAAGTCCATTCTTGAACTTATAAACATTTGATCAGGTTTACTCCATCCATCTGGAATGAAATGATCTCACACACACAAACCTTGTGCAATAGTATATTCATTTCCATTAAGATAGAACTGACATACTGATGTCTTTCAAAGTCTAATAAGGATATTCAGAAAAAAAATTCTTTAAGAATGGCTTCAATTCTAAAAAAATCTTCTCACAGAGACAGACATAAGTAGTTCAATCTACTTAGAAAGTTAAGAGGTCACTTGATTATGGTATGTAAGTTCTGACACAGAGAGAGAAGACTTCTGACAATAGAGGATGCGTTATTCTACCAAAAGACCCGACAGCTGCAAGTTGCATTTATACAAATTCAGACTTGAAATTGGGTACATAAAGTGAGAGTAATCAGCCATTGGAACAACAAACTAAGCGATGTGGTATATATTCTATAACTTGATGCCATTAAAAGGGCTGGTTTTGTTCAACATCTTTATTAATGACCTGGATGAGGGGATAGATTGCACCCTCAGCAAGCTAGAAGGAAAGGTAGATATGTTGGAGGGCAAGGCTAGGGTCCAGAGTGACCTAGACAGATTAGAGGATTGGGACAAAAGAAATCTGATGAGGTTCAACAAGGACAAGCACAGAGTCCTACACTTGGAACGGAAGAATCCAAGGCATTGTTACAGCCTGGGGACCATGGTAGTTTGGCAGAAAAGGACCTGGGGATTACAAAGGATGAGAAGCTGGATATGAGTCAACAGTGTGCCCTTGTAGCCAAGAAGGCTAATGGCATATTAGGATGCATTAGGAGGAGCACTGCCAGCAGATCTAGAGAAGTGATTAATCCCCTTTATTCGGCACTGGAGAGGCCACATCTGAAGTACTGCATCCAGTTCTGGGCCCCCCACTACAGAAAGGATGTGAAGAGGGTCCAGCGGAGGGCAACCAAAATGATTAAGGGGCTGGAGCACATAACCTACAAGGAGAAGCTGAGGGATTTGGGCTTATTTAGTCTGCAGAAGAGAAGAGTGAGGGGGGATTTGAGAGTAGCATTCAATTTCCTGAAGGGAGGTTCCAAAGAGGATGGAGAGAGGCTGTTCTCAGTAGTGACGGATGGCAGAACAAGGAGCAATGGTCTCAAGTTACAGTGAGGGAGGTCTAGGTTGGATATTAGGAAAAATTATTTCACTAGGAGGGTGGTGAAGCACTGGAATGGGTTACCTAGGGAGGTGGTGGAATCTCCATCCCTAGAGGTTTTTAAGTCTCGGCTTGACAAAGCCCTGGCTGGGTTGATTTAGTTGGGATTGGTCCTGCTTTGGGAAGGGGGCTGGAGATAGATAGATATATATATTACTATTGACCCGAAGGGCTGAATTAGGGATGTAAAAGAGACTAGTCAATTACCCAATAAGCATATACTTATCAGGCAGTCGAGTAGCGACTTGACTAGTTGCTTCCCTCCTTCTCCCCCCAGCCTTGCTGCCTCTAAAAGAGGCAGCAAGGTGGGGAGCTGGTTTAAAAGCCAGTTCCCCCCAGCACCATCTCAGGGGGGCAGAGGAGGCAGATATGTAGCGAGGAATCAGCACGAGCTGGGAATCAGCGGCTTCCCAGCTCTCGCTCAGTCCCAGATGCTGTGCCTTTGCTTTTTACACGGATTAAAAGCCTGACAGCACAGCTGGAGGACAGAGAGCGAGCTGATTCCCGGCTCGCAACCGGTCCCTCCCAATACGCTTCTAGCTTTTAAACGTATTAAGAGCCTGTCAGCTCTTAATACATTTAAAAGGCAGAGCCACAGCGGGTTAGCACCCAGGGCTGTTTCCCCCTTTCTTGACTAATCAAGTAATCAATGGGAATTCCATTGACTTCTTGATTAGCTGATTACACGCAATTTAAGATTCCTATGCTTAATCTCCACCAGACTTATATTATCACAGTCACCAGTTGTCAGGTACATAGGATTTTCAAAAACGTTATCCTCTTGGGTAAAATTCTGAATTTAATTTTTGTCCAAAAGAGTATGTTGGGGCAAAAGTTTGAAAAAAATCTTTCAGTTGTTTTTGTGTTTAGTAAAGAGTTTTCCCCCATTTTAATCAACTTTTTCAAAATGGCAGAAGTTTTTAACTTAATATGTAAGTAGTTCTTAACAAGGATTGACGAAAAATACCTAAGTTATAAACATTTAAACAGTCTTTCATTCATTTTAATGAGGTATGAACTACAAGAAATAAAATATGAATGTTATTTATTTACTTTCTGAACTTTCACACTGTTGCACTCGAAAGTAAAAAGTCATAATAGCTCATTCATATAAAAAAATGTTCCTTGTTTTTATCCATGGAGCACCTGCCAGAAAACCACCCAAAAACAAGTCTAAATAACAGGGGAAATCTATAAATATCAGAAAATATAAGCAAGCGAGTTGTGGGTTGTGTCATTATACTTGGCATGGTTTGCATCATGATACCATGATGCTGGGCAGGACTTGTGTCAGAAACATTTCTCCAAGAGAAGGGAGGGATAGTTTGGATGTGGTTTTTTTTAAGCTGTCAGAAGACAAGCAGAAAAACCTATGGGCTGCGACTGCATGGAAACATCAACGCAACTGCCCCAAAAGAAGAAAAAAGTTATTTGTTTTAAGTGGACTCACTACCATTTGTGTTCCCTGCTATTAAATGGGGCTAAAAAGTACAGATGGGGGCAAACTGGAATAAGAGGTAGGCCAAACGCACATATTCACATGATATCCAAGTCAATTCTATGTATTTTAAAGGCATTTAAAACACATTTACACAATTCATACTTTAAACTCTCTTGAAATACTCATTTACACAATATTCTAATCTCCTTAGAAAGTAATTACAATCCACTGTGTCTACTCTCACACAGTTCTGCAACAGATTTGTTTCTTTTATAGACACAAAAAAGCATAAGCTTGCCCAAGAATAAAAGTGTAATGTTCAATGCAGTTTGCAATCCACTCAATACAAAGAAAATTTAGAAGGAATGTTACATGTCAGTAATGTTATCATGTCACATGTCTGTAATGCTAAATATATGGCATCCTCTTTCAAAATGAAAGAAAATTAATCTGGTCTGAAGAGTTGCTGGAATCCTATCATACCATATAATAAACTTTTGCCAGTTGCTAATATGGCCCTTGGACTTTTTGTTAGTGAACATTTAAGAAGTTATACTTTAATATGACTCATGTTTTATATTGATACATCAGAAAAACCTGCATTTTCTTCAAATGTGCTAAATGACATATAAACAAGAAATGTTATACTATACCATACTTTTATAAAAATGTGAACAGAACATATTCTAAGACAGTGTCTACACTTCCACTTTCTGTGCTAAAATTTTAGTCATTTAGGGGTGTGAAAAAACACACTCCTGAGACACAGACATTTTAGCACTGAAAAATATAAGAATAGACAACGAGTAGTCTTGTAGCACCTTAGAGACTAACAAAGTATAGACACTTCAAGGGGTAGCCGAGTTAGTCTGTACAGGATAAACTTAAAAAACAACAAAAGGTCTGGTAGCACTTTATAGACTAACAAAACATGTAGATGGGATCATGAGCTTTTGTGGGCACAACCCACTTCTTCACAGCACTTCATGGCTGGGAGCTGCAACTCCAAGCAATAAAGCTACCACCCCTTGTTCAGGATGGGGTTTTTTTTTTATACCACTGAGAGAGTCAGTTCTTTTGGTTATAAAGCATGACTACACTGCCCACATCACAGCTCTGAGGCAGATGTGCTGTCAAGTTGGCAGTGTAGACATATTCCAAACAAGTGTCACAACCAGGTCTTGCTCTTTACTTGCACTGGCCATTAGGTGTTGAAGTTGTCAGAAGGCCAACACAGAGCTGTTCACCATTACCTCGGCCACAAGATTAGATTGTTTTTAAATATGTGTTTTCAGCCAGTGTTTCCAGACTTCTACCTGAACCTCCTGAATCTCATTCCCAGTCTCATTATCCACATTTTCTATTTCACTGAACAGTTTGTCAATGATCTCAGGTACATTTGATGAGGTGTCTTTCTTCACCAGTTCTTGAATTAGCACTGAAAGAAAGACAAACAAGAGGCAGCAACTCTCCACACAAAAATTAAGAGTAACACATCATTTCTGAACATCTGAACAAGATAAACCAATCAGTTTACATTTTCTTAATATCCTTCTATCTACTACAGCAGTTCTCAAACTTCAGAAACTCAACAATCCCCATTTTGATTTAAAAGTTTTCAGATTCCCAAAGCCTCCTGAGATTTATTTTCATTTAAAGGTTAAAAAAAAACACATTCATGAAAAGATTATTTATTTATATTGTACCACTAAAACTATTTATTTATTGAAGTATCCATTATTAGACAGATATATATAAGTATGTGTGGCTAATGAACTACCCTTTATTTTTATTGTCATTAAATCTAAACAGCTAGAAAACTTCTCTCCTTCACCCAAGGCCTTACCCCATCCACCTCTTGCCACCCCACTCCTGCCCATCTCTCTTCCCCACCTCTTTCCACCCCCTCCTTGCACCTCATATACACCACTGAACCGCAGCATACAAGAGGCACTGGAAGGAAGGGGGAGTAGTTGATCAGAAGGGCCGGCACCCTAGAATACACTCGCAGATCCAGCCTACCGACCAAGATTGTGTTTATTTAGTAGCCTAGTGTTTCTCAAAGTGAAGAAGGAACCTGATCAATTAAATAAAACAATTCAAGAAATAATTCTGAATCCTAGAAATTTTTTACTTAGGCAGCAAGGTGAAATTCTTGTGACCTACACCAATTAAATCTGTTGACTTTCATGAAGTTGAATCCAGGCAATGAGACCAAATTTTGGACCAACATTTAATTTGTTAATAAAATATCTCTTTCCTGAGAGTGTCTTTTGTTTCTATTCTAAACAACTTTTACTCTTTGGCACTCTCAAATAATATAATGCTGCATGAAGCCTGCATCAATAACTTTACTGTGAGCAAGTCAATGCCAGTGCTTTCATTAAGGCTGAAAGGAATGTCACAATTCTGAGGAGAGGCTGAACCTATAACCTTAAAAACTCCCATACCATCTGTTATGAAGCGTATGAATAAAAAAACCAAAACCCTGCTATCCTGGGTCTTCTAAATTCCTGCCTCAGGTTTAAAAGGAAAACTGACAAACTCAATTAACTGCTGTATAATTAACCAGTCACTGAATTTAGAGACAATTAAGTAACTTTACTGGGTCCTCCTTCCCTCTTCAATAGGTTTTGATCATCATAACGTAGAAACTTCTCCACACATAGGTTTGAGATGCAAAAAACACTCAAAGTCTCTCTTTGTCGCTAGTTTTGTAATTATTCAAGCATTATATTAATGCATTAACCAGTTGCTTTTCAAGTGCTAGTTAGTTAAGCCCTGCCTGTTTCCAACTTTCTTTGACTGTGAAGTTCTTCTAGCACATCAAGCCCAATCAAAGTGTCTTTGTTAAGTTATTTAATATTATTTGTTTTCCTTGAGCTGAAGACAGTCATCAGCTATTTTGAACCATAAACTAGACAACATGCTTGGTATTTCCTTCTCTATTTCTCCTCTATACTTGTGTGCTCAATTTACTGGGCATGGGGCAATACAAAACCTTTATACCCCATACTAAAGTAATCTGCAAGCATTTATTCAGGACCAGCAATATTTTTATTCTCCCTAGCTCTTAAGAACACCATCCTTCCCCAGAGCCTCTAGTCCATACTTCTCAAGTCCTCCCTGACATTCAGGTTCCAAGACACAGCTTAATATTATCAGGAAGAGTCAGATTTTCCTGACTATAATTAGAAAAACCTGGAAATTAGGCTTTTATTCCCTGTGGCTTCATCATAACACACAAAATATACATGTGCAGCACTGAATTATTTACACAATTACGGATTAAACATTTAGTTTTTCAAAGATTACTGATTTGTACCTTTAATGTCCGGTAAGTGAGACTTCCCCTTCATTTCTAAAGCGTTGAATCAAATCCTTTAACACACACACACAGACAAAAATTTAAAAGTTTTATATGTAACTTTTCTACTACACCTTTCAACTATTCCTTATTATAGGCTTGATTCCACTCTTACGGTGTGTCTAGGATTTTTTTTTTTTAAATGGCCTTTTTTCGAAAAAACTTGCCCTGCGTCTAGACTGCTGCCACGTTCTTTGGAAAGTAAATCAAAAGAACGCGGCAGATTTTTCAGCCGCAGAAAAACTCTGCACTGCCTTCCCTTATCGACTAATCGATTAGCTGATTAATAGAAAGTTAACATCCCTAGCATGGTGTCCAACCCGCTAGCTACTACATGTGGTTATTTGGCCAGGCAAGTGTGGCTAGTTGGCTTGAACAATGTAGCTATTTGGCTAGTTGAGCGTGGTTAGTTCACTATAGCAGTAGCCACTATAATGGTTACTGCTTCAGAAATGGTTGGATACAACAGCTACAGATCCTTTTTTACTACTTTCCAACCACCTACTTATTGTTTCCTCACTCCCATTACCTCAGTTGATTTACTGCAAAAATTCTAATTCAGAAACTTAAAGAAAAATTGTTTATGTTAAATGTAGGCATGTGAACGGTTAACTGGTTAACCAATAAGCATCATGCTTAATGGGTGATGCTTACTGGTTCCAGTTAGCAAGTAGGAGCGGGAACAGCTCCCCACCCGCTGTTTGCAGGAAGCTGTTCCAGCCCCAAGGAGCCACCACAGACAGGGGCTGCTCCAGGCATCCAAAGCAGCCCCTGTCCAGGGTGGCCCAGGCATGTTGCAAGCAGGGGCTGTTCCAGGCATCAAAGCTGCCCATGTCTGCACCCAGGGGAAGAAAGGACACAGATAGGGGCTTCTCCAGCTGTGCTGTCCATGCCTGTGGAGAGGGGCCTCTCCAGCCTGGCCCCCTTAATTGGTTAACTGGTTAATCTTCATATGTAACCAGTTAACCAATTAAACATAATTTTACATCTCTATTTAAATGCCCTGCCACATTTCTGACTGGCTATTTTTAACTCTCCCATTTTTAGCTCATCTCATATCTCACTCCTGGGGGAATTCTGCACCACTGCATGCATATAATTAATGAGCAATAAATATATTTAATTTTGAGTGCAGAAAAAAGCTTCTGCCAGAAAGTTGCTGCAGTACTGCCTTTTGCCCACCAAAGGGTGCTATGGCACTAGAACAGAGTAGCAGCTCTCCTTGACGAAGGGAAGAAAAAGAGCCCACCCACCTTCACAGCATCTAGCAAGCCAGATCAGGAGACAGTGAACATGAACAGACATCAGCATGGGGCTGCTCTGAGTCACGGAAGGGTGGGAGCACATAGGGACAGGGAGCTGGCTGAGTAGGACACAGAGACCCATGGGAATGAGTTACATAGGTGCTTGAGTAGGGCTGGAAGGACATGTGTGGACAGTAGGGGCAAGGACATATGCAGGTGTAGGGTCACATGTGACAGATGTGCCTGATAGAATGGGAGAGATTAGGCATCAGCCAGGATCTGCATGGGGAAAGCTCCCAAAGACTGCTTCTAGCTCCCTCAAAAAATCTGTTCCATACTTTTCCCACTTATACCCAAGAACCCTCCATGTTCACACCATGTTTGTTCCCAACAATTACTTCCCTGTCACTCCGTTCCTCTTTTAGCTTTGAATTCCTTAAGCCTTTGCACTACTTCTCAGGCAGGCCGGAAATACGATTCGTTATTGTAGTTTAAATTAATTATTACTCAGATTTCTGAATTAATATGCCTATTAATCTGTTTGTTACCTGTATTGTTACAGACATAGTTGCTGGCATGTAATTTGATGTAAATGACCAAAAATAATTGAAACTGATGTGATTATGTTGAATAATCTTGACAAATAAAATATGCAGAGTTTGGAAATACCGTGCACAAAAATTATAATATTTGGAACAGAATTCCCCAGGAGTGATATCAGAAACTGATCAGGTTGGCCAGTACACAGACAGACAGACCATACATAAAATA